CCCCTTTGGTAGTCCATTGGAGTCTTCTGAGCGATTCAAACACCTGAGAGTTGCAAGGCGATCCAACTTGGTCATACCGGATTTGCACCGTCCCTTCAATTTCCCTCTCCATCTTCTGCCCGGAACAAGGCTACTGATTGATTGGGCTCGAGAATCAGTTTTTTTTTTTAAACACAATACATATAACATATATATATATGTATATATCGTTGCTTCACAGGGCACTGCCGTTTTTACAAGCCCGCCTCTTTTGCGTGGTCCACACCTGGGCTGGTCACGGGTGGAATCACTGATCGGCTTGTCTGGTCACCGATAGGCACGTGACCGCCATGTCCCTTCCGTCTGTGGAGCGGTAGCCTGGGTCTGGGTTCATGAGGTCGGACGGGAACCTCACTGACTCCGAATGGTATGCAGTATACGAAGGTCTTCCGCGAGAGAGCAAATACATCTACTCACCTTGGCCCAGCTCATCAAATCCGTGCCCGGTCCATCCTCAGTCTAGTGTCATGATGTCATGCTAAGTGGTCGTTGAGCCTTTCTAGTGCTAGTTGGAACCAGCAAGCAGACTCCAACCTCATGATTTTGGGCATTTACTGTACATGCATGGCGTGCTAGGTGGTTCAACCACGGGCTTGGCATCCAAGAGAGGGTAGAAAATATTGATGTGTCCAAGACTCAAAACATTGCTATGGGTCAAAACCAGGGAGCCTCGGTGGACCGCAGAACATGAAGAGAATAGACTGGGGAGATCAACCTACCAGGGTTCACCGGGCGTACCCAAAGCCACAACCAGGTCGTGTGAGTCCAGCGGACTGCCAGCAACCCAACAGCTCACCCCGAAACACTTTTACGCTTACATCCGGGGCTCAAGAGGCCTCAATCAGGCAGGGCGGCAAAAGACAAACACAAAAGCAGCCCTATAGACTATATCAATTAAACAACGCAAACACAACCACATTGAGAAGTGCCCGGCACAATCAATTTCAATATCTTGTCCGGGGTACTTGAAGACAAAACAATCAAACACATATGAGGGAGGTTTCCGTTTTTCACGCCCTGTGCGATTTGGCTGTGTTTTCTGTTATAGTCACGCATGTTTCTGCAGCACCAACTAGGGGAACCAGCCAACACCCGCAGCCGAACACCCGACGCCGAAAACCCACCCAACCAATCTGCCGTCGCAGCGTCTGGGCCGTCGCTCTCCGAAGCTGGACCTTCGGCCCGAGGTCCACACAGTACCCTGGCAACGAGGCCGTGACGGTCACACGAGTGCTGTCAGAAGCAAAAAGAAAAGCTATGCGGGAGAGCGGAAAATGCGTATATATGTATATATATATAGCTATATATTAGTAATTATAGACAATAGACATTAATACACAACATCTTTACCCTCGGGTGGCCCACAAAAGGTTTGCTCCAATGTCTATTTGATCCTTCCTGCTCTGAATGTTGCCCTCGGGTGGCCCAGAAAAGGTGTGCTGCGTTGGAATGGTCCTGTCCATCAAGCCATTAAACGTCCTTAATCCAAAGAACTTAACCAAACAATAATAACATAAACACACACAAACATCAGGTAACAACTTGTCTTGCAAAGAAAAGTCGCAAACAAGAAGCAACACCGATGCATGCAAATTGCACAATAGACACACAAAGAAACACAAACACCAAGAAGCTGAGCAAAGGAAAGCAAAAAGAAGGAAAGCAAAGGGGCAGAACAGCAAACACGCAACTAAGCAAAGAAGCAGAACTGCAAAAAACAACAGGAAGCTGAAAGGAAACAAAGAGCAAAGAAGCACACAAAAGCAAGAAACAACAAAAACATACAAGGAAAAAACACATCAAAATCGACAAAGCAAACACTGGCAAGGAACATTAAACAAAAAAAACACAAACAAGTAACTTCCCAGAAAACATGGCCCTCCATATCTTAATGTGGCCATGACTGGATGTCTGCCTGAGACTTTTCCACAGCAGCCGCATGCTTAGTTGGTTCCTAGTCATAGTCACATTCCGAAGTGAGAGTTTCTTCCCGAAGCCTGAAGCCTCTGTTGGGAGGGAGTGAACTGGTCAAGAAAGGGAAGTGCTGCCTCACACGCAGCAAATCTCTTGAAGCTTTTGGTGAAGAGCCTTGAAGCAGGAAGCCCCACTGCAAAGCAACATGTCAAGTTAAGGCCGTTAAGGCCTTCATGACCGTCTGAACCACGAGACTGTCTACTGTATGGCCACCCTGGTTATCTCTTCAGAGCGAACTACCAGTAACTAAGCGATCCCTGCTTTCGGTTCTGCCAACACCTCCCTTTCGAAAAGAAAGCAGGACCAGTCGGACCAGTGTTGTTCTTGTGCTCACAGATTTCAGGAGCGTCCGTGGCTTCAGCATGTTCCAAACACATCCACATACTAAAATGCACCAGAACATCACAAAACCAACGCCTATATTTAAGGATGACCCTAAACCCTAACCCTCCCAGTCACCTGGCCGTTAACTGGCTCACCATCGACACCGGTCACCGCACCTTCGAACCGGCCAGCTCCAAGGATTCGATCCGCCGGTCCTGGCCCCGCACGACGCGGCGGGTGACCTCTGGTGACCAGGTGTGGAGTTTCCATGATTTTGGCAGGCCATTTTTGGGGAAATCCCGGAGTCCGGAAAGGAAGGCCTGATTGGAAAACACCCGTACAAGTCTGGGCTGAGTGATGTCCACACGGGCATTCTTGGATTTGCACTCCTCCTGCCAGTTGCCCACACCAATTCATGCTGTCCTTGGCGTGGAGCATTCGCTGCAAGCTCGCGACTTGCTCCTGAGACTGGCTCCGAGGCTCCAGTCTGTGCCAAGCCAAGCTGCCACAGCTCTGTCTAGTAACATGATTAGTCGCTTAGTAGCCAAATCCAACAAGGCAGCTGTGAAACCATTCATGCGAACACTCTGGACTCCATTTTTGGTTGCTATAAAGAATTATACAGACAGCAAGCACTGTCGGCTCCGCTTTTCAAAACATTTGCTGTGAGGCCTCCAGGAGCCGACAGCATTTCCCGGCCTCCAGGACTTCTTCTCTGCCCGACTTTCCCTGAACGGCAAACTGTTCTCGACGTTGTCAGTGCATAATTGGACAACCAGCTTTGCTGACGCTTGGCGCTTTTTCAACCATAAGTTGGCACCTTTTTCTTTGGGGGGGATACCCTCCCTGAAACAACAATCAAGAAGTGGAAAACCACTGGTTTGTAGGGGAAAACATTCTTCCAGGAGGCCATGTTCCACTTCCATGTTTGTTAAAGGGAGGGTATCTCACAAATCTCACAACCCCAGCATTGCTTGGTCCGACTGAGCGGTGGCTATGGACGTGTGTTGTGCCAAAAAAAGAAACGAGAGACCTATCCCATCGTCAACAGTTGTCCGTATTGCTCTCGATTCTATATATTGTGGGGGATCTGAACTAACTGACTGAGTGCATGTTTGTGGCTGAAAGCATTGAAACCATATTATGTTCGGGCACTGCTTGACTTCATATAGGCGCATTGACGCCTCTTAGCATACATAAAATTACATACAGTAAAACCTGCTTGTGCCCGAATACCCCTATGATATCCCTAGTCCGGGCTCCCAATACATCCCAATACCTTGATTTGATCCGGCAGGCAACCAACACGTTGTTTCTGATTCAAGGCTTCGCCTGAGCAGCTCGATGCTTGACGGCGATCTCACGTTCCAGCTCCACCTGGAGCTGAGTGTGAAGTACCCACTGCAGCAAAAGTTCGAGGAATACATAAGCCAAGACCCTTTCAACAGCTTTGACACTGGCAAAACACACACACACACAGATATATATATATATATATATATACCCTACGCACCCAAACCCTATAAATTTGTAGGGTCGATGGAAAAACCTAGGGTTTCTGAAGGAAACCCCAGGTTTTCCAAACCAATATTAAAATACGGGTTTAGTACGGGTATGTACGGGTTAAATATGGGTTTAGTACGGGTTAAACATGGGTTTAGCACGGTTTAGAAAAGCAAGACCCGAGGTTTTAAGAACAAACCTAAGGTATTTTTGATTTCACAAGAATACCCGAGGTTCCGATTGAGACCCTACAAATTTATAGGGTTTGGTTGCGTAGGGTATTACAGAGAGAGATAGAGAGAGATTGTAGTGTGACCCAGTATGGACATGTCTCGAGTCTAACATTGGGCGCACTCACAATAATATAACATAATTGACACATTTTGAAACATGGATGGGATACCAAGTATCCTAAACATTGAATGCCACCTTTCTGGGAGACCGTGCATACCGAAGCTTGAACTTCTTGGCCGCTTCATTCAGTGAACAAACCCTTCGGGATAGGTGTCAACTGTGTCAACAAGGTGGAACAGGTTTTGCAGGGTTCAGCGGACACGCTGGGAATCGCAAGAAACCTGGTGAATCAGGGTTTCTATAGGCTGCTCGTGCTGGCTAGTGAATCAGGGTCAGGGTTGTCTTTTTTCCCACTTGGGTTTCTGTGTGTACGCATTTGCCGTATAATATATAGTACACCATTATAACATTCCTTTGAAGCTGGTAGAACTCCGTTCAAGTGTAACATTCACCGAACACCCAAGGCATCAAAGGTCTCCAAACACGAGATCAGGGTTCTGCCAACTTCCAACCCCCCCAAATCTGTTCCAGGCAGATTCCCATCCAATTCCTGGGAGTTGGGCACCTGCTCTGGGCACCTGCTATGCCTGGTGAGCGCCACGCCTGGGAGGCGGCCTCCAAGGATTCGATCCGGGAGTCCTAGCAGCTGTTAGAGTGGCAAATGTCACCAGTCCCAACCTTTTGGGGAGGTGTTCTACTGGTACTGTGTCGATCTTTCATCGTTGAGAAAGTGTTTTTCTAAGAATTCAAGATGCGTCCAACAGATTGACCAACCCTCCCGATGCAAATCCAGACAAATCCAACAAAAACATCATGCATGATGTGGCACATTGCCCTCGCACAGCATCGCATATCGGATTTTCATTTCAAGCGCCGTCTTGCAGTTCCTCCTTTTCTTGGGCCTCCTTGGTTTTGGCCGCCAGCATGCTGGCCAATCCGGGGTCCTCTTCCTTCAAAGTCTGAATGCGGGCCACTAGGGCTTGTGTCAAGTATGCGATGGCATTCTCATCCTTGAACCATTTCATATCGTGCATGGTGATGAAGAGCTTACCTCAGCAGCTCCGTCAAATCGTCGAGTGATCGGGGCTCACACAAGGGGGTTGAATGAGAATGCTGATGTTGGAATTGTTTAGTTTGTGACTCTTCAGTGGAAAGCCACGCCCTAGGGCTCCAACTGCCTCTGCGAAGGTGGCTGGGGTGGGTTTGGGGGTATAAATGCCTTCTGAGGATGTGGTTGGAACCCTAGGGATCACACCCTATACATATGCAACTGTCCACTTTCTTGGCACCATTGGTCACCCAGTCACCAATCTCGGGCGGGGTGACCTTGTCAATATGAGCAATGATACCCTTGGCCACCTTGATCTGCAGGGATGCTGACTGGATGTTCGCCACAGCCAGTGCCCAAGCCATCGATGCTACGGCATCCACATGCTTCATCTCCTTAGTTTGCGGAATCTGCTCATATCATGGGAGTTTGCGGAATCTGCTCATATCATGGGCAAATGTGTTTGAGATTCCTAGTCACCATTGGGAAAGCCAAGGACTTCCCAAGAAGAAGAGATTCCCCAAGGTTCAATTTTCCCGCGCACATCTGGGAACGGATACGTAGTAACGCATACTGCATCGTCTAGAGGTGCATCCTGAACTCTTGTAGAGTAAGGCTCCAAACACACACCTCACTACACACCTCTTTCAACAGTGTCTCTTTTTGTGCCTTTCAACCATGCTCCCTCTCATTCATGCCTTGCCAGGTCTCAGAATTCGGAATATCAAGGGCTGCTCGGGCCATGTCCTGAAAGGGTCTTCGAAGGCCTAAGGTTCCAATGGTGGCCTCATCTGAGACGCCCACCTCTGTATCAGCCTCGCCTGGAGCAGAAATGCGAGGAGCAGCAATGACATGAGTCAACAAGATCTGCTCAGTGAAACAATGGAAGGCCGGGAAGGTAATTACAAAGTTTAGGGAACCTTTTGTGGAACTATTTCGAGTGAAGAACCTTCTGCGAGGGGTGGCCAAGAACATCGGAATGGTGGCTCGATCGATCATCTTTTCAAGTCACCTCTTTCCATGAGCTCTTTGTTCAAGATCATGGACATCGCCCCAGTGACCCGATCATCCGCGGCCCACATCTTCCGGGCCAGCTTGGTGAGCAGCTCCAAGGCTGAGCCCAGCTGCTTCATGTCGAAGAGGTCGGAATTTTCACGACAATACCTACGGGGCGTATTAGGGCGTTAAATGCAGCCGAGAGGAGTATTTGGCAGCCACCCCGGTCGCGTCACGCGCCACCCAAAGATGTTGGTATTAACAAACGAGGGTTTGATTGGGTTTGGATGTTTGTACCTAAATTCCTGTTTCACTATATTGTCAGAATCAAGAGAGGTCCCTTGCTTCGATGCATGCAATGAGTCTAGGACAAATCAAGGGAACCCCAAAACGACATGTAACAAGTGTTCTCCTTTTGTGAGTGTCAACCAACCTGAATTAGTTGTGAATAGCCAATACACATCTCAAAATCCCACAAGATCTAGAAAATAGCCAGGCAAAATACTCACGGACGGCTGCAAAGGCAGTGAAGAAGACTGGGAACTTCTTTGCCTCAGCCAGCAGCAGCTGCGACTGCTGGTAATAGAGAAGTTGTATACTTCTATGTGTTCATATTATGTGGATTTATGATGATTTATGTGGTCTGGTCGATTTTCATGGACTCACATTCGAGATGACAAAATATGCAACGAAAACTTCACAGCTGGCTTTGCGAGTTGCAGACTGAATGCCCTGGCTCTTTTCTTGTTGCGACTCCAGGCCCTCCCATTCGAGCAAGCGACTGATCGCGGGTAACACTCCTTCATTGCCCCCACGCTCCAAGCTTTGGTCTAAAGACTTACGAAGCTTCTTTAGCTTCAGCTCATCAAAGTCTAGATCCTCTTGGAGCAAGCGCTCGAAGGCCAGCTCAGTGGAGATGCTTTTGGCTTTGAGGTCCTCCATGATTTGAGACAATGCAATCTGCTGGGTGCCCATAGCCCTGGTGGAAGTTCTCCATGTCACGCTTTGCCTTCCAAACGGGCCGATGAAGGCGCTGGCCCATGCGTACAGCCAAGCTAAGGAGCAAAGGCTGGCCACGCAGGGCCGCCGTGAGCGACACAAAGCAGCCATGTAGTTTCCTACTTCCTTGTCTGAGCTGGAGCCTGATGGAAACTGGCAACAACACGAGTCATTCAAAGAGAGTGAAAAGGATAATGCTCCAGTCTGAAATTCTCAACCGGTCTGGAAATCCAAGTCAGGCATGCTGAAGCCAGGAACCAACACCAAACAGAAATGGACATGCTTGCTTTCATGCACCACATTCTGGGATTTTGCACTCCTTGCCACCCACATCAGCAAACTGATGCCGTCCTTGGCGTGGAGCAATCGCTGCATGCTGGCGAGTTGCTCCTGAGACCGTGGCGAGTTGGGTCGCCACTGCGCACGGCCAGGCACACTCTGGTTCTCCGGGTCAACCAAGAAGACACAGCCAGGCATAAACAAAGCACACAAAAACACAGGTTGCCTACAATTTGAAGGACTTGCATTTCTGGCTTTCTTTCTAAGCATGTTATGATATTTATAATATAAACATCATGTTACCAATGCATTTCCTGGCCTCCAGGACTTCCTCTCTGCCCGACTTTCCCTGGGAGATGCAAAAAACGCTAACACATAAAAATAACAAACCTCATCGGTCATGTCAAACATTCCCGCCTCTTTGACCTTGCCTCATGACATGCCGTCCCTCAAGCAGTGTGCTTTAATGATGTGACAGCAAAGTACACGTGTACAAATTCACACGTCATAGATACTATATAATACTAAGCACAGCACATAGCATGTGCGGAGTATCTATGCTATAATACTGCTCAATTCTTTGGATCTTGATTAGTGGAGACCGTCACACGCGGACCGTGGAGACTGTTCCTGAGTGCAGCGCCAACGAGTGCCCGGAGATGATCAGGTACCCCCAGCCCCCAGCGACTCAAATCTACACGTGGGGCTCTGATCTGTACGCTTAGTTTTGGAAGCTCCTGCTGATCGACCATCCATTAGGTGAATGGCGAGGACACAAATAGAATTTAACAAAATGATCCCAAGGCATGGCCTGTGTGAGATGCTCCTTGAGGGCGATCTCACGTTCCAGCTGCTCCTGGCAAAAGCCGTGACCACTTCATGCATCTTATAGTGGTCCGGTCCCCAAATAGATGGTAGAAACATGTAGAACCGGTGTCCAATACATCACTAAGTAGTGGGGATCTACTTTTAATCTATCTATTTGGGGGTCTTTTTATGTCTATACACATAATGATTATATGCATAACATGTGCGGAACTGGATCGGGAAGAGTGGTTTTGTTGCAGTGACCTGTAACATGTCGCCAAGAAGAATGCATCTCTATCCTTTATGGAGGCTAAGAGCGATTGTAGCGATTATGCAGCATACGTACCTATAAACATCCTGGACATTCCATACCAGCGTTTCGTACAAGAAACGTTCCATCCAACACCACCGAACCAGCAGTGCGAACGGCAAGTAAAGCCATCATAAGGTGGGGGTCTTGTGGAACTGGCAGTGCGTAGACGCATGACTCAGAGCAGCCGAACGGAACCGTCTGCTCGGCCTGTTCCAAATCTGCTGCCACCCATGGAGGAGTTCGACTCCAACAGTCTCGTTCCTGACCGAAGCGGAGGGACCGAGACAGAGCGAACGACTCAGTTCGAGTTCGTCGACGGGGGGATCAAACATGTACATGTCCGGTCACTGTTTCGATGGTTTTCCGAAAGACAAAGAGGTGTTTTTGATGCGTTTGATGCGTTTCTGCCGCACATGGGAGTGGCTCAAAATCCAGGAGTGCTGAGAAAGCACTCCTGGCCCTACTGCGCCCTAGTGATGGACAAGAAGCTGCAGGACCTTGGATTAGTTCAAGTGATGCACTTGTTACTAGTAGCGATGCCTTTGTTACTACTAGTAGTTTCTTGTTACAAGCAGTAATGCCCTTGTTACTAGTAGCGATGCACTTCTAACTAGTAGCTGCAGGACCTAAAAATTAAAACACAACATAGATGGGAGGGTGCTGCACGCGTCAAGAAATTGGTCCAGAGGGTCTGGAATCCTCTGCGGCCTCTGCACATGTTCAGGTAGACAGCTTCTATTGTCACGCACTTGAAACCTATTGTACTTACAGAAGGACAATTCCTAACACCGCGGGGCCGTCGTCCTACAGTAGTTGTTCGGTCCAGGTTGCTTGGCATCTTGTAACCTAACACCCAACCAGCGGGATCTGCTACACTAGCCACTGCAAACCGAGTGTCGGATGGCTGCAAATCCTCTATGGCATGTCCATCTGTCACCACTGCCTCGGGCATTTATTTTTTTTTTCGTGCAATCTGCTCTCAGTAATCATAAAATCTAAGCCCATCTGATGCTTGCAAGATCTTGCAAGCGATTAGCCTTCAAACGGTCTATACTTCTGATCCGTTCAAAGGTTCAACAAGAATACCAGTCTCAAGTCACATCTGTTGAGACTATTATTGATTAGTGTGGAATCAGTGTGGAAGGCATTTGGTGGTTATCCTTAAGGGATGGATCAATAATGAGCAAACAAGGAGTTTGTAGACACAGCACATGTTCATAAAGAATGGCTTTTTACCTAGCCAAACATTTGCAGCAATGAAATCTCAAACGTGCAATCTTGCTCGGACGGAAAATCTAAAACAAACATAAACAATCCAATGCATATATTTGATATGTATATATATATATATGTATGAATATGCATTGATGTTTTGTGTGTATGTATATACATGGTTATTTTAGATATGTACGTGTAACTGTATGTGTATTCATTATACATGCATACGAACCCTTCAAATCCATTCTTATTGTTTCCCCTGTTCCGCGCCTTAAAGACATCACGAAAGCACTGCAAGCGCTGGTGGAACTCTTCCACTTTCATCCTCGAACCAGATTGCAAAACACAAAGGGCTGAGGGACATACGGCACATGTCTACACGATGAACCCAGATGTCATGCTGGAAAGGCAAAGTGTCCCAGAAGAGGACGCTGCAAATCCCAGGATGCTGCTCCTGATGTCCAGTTGTTGGGTTTTGTGACGTTTTGTGAACCAGGCCCGCTTAGAAGTCTCTTGAGTGCAACTGGCAGGTCCATCTGTCAGCGCGTCCTGCCGAAGCCGAAGTAAAGGGGCAAGATCAAGGACGAACCTTGTCAGGCCTGTTGATCCAAGGAAGGTGATGTGAACTAACAAGCACATATCCCCGCGGATGCGAAGGGGCAACATGAAGCTCCCTATGAACCAAAGTCTTGTCTCCATAAAAGTGCACCTACTAGTTCCTGCCCTGCGTATGGTTTTGTGCAGTTCCGCATGCCCACCCAGGTCAAAAACCTTAAGATATACACTGTGTGTGGCTGAATGCTGAATTTCTACGCCCATCTCACTTACCCAGCCGAATCACAGGAGGCTAGTCTGGTCGGACCACAGCTGCACGTTCTGCATGCTAATATTGACAAAGTGATCCAACAAAGACCTGGGATTGGCACACGCTGGATCGAGAAGTGGAATGTTGGGAAACTCCATGAATATCATGATATACCCTACAATGTTACAAGTTTGGCAGAGGACCTTCTGCTTCGCCTTTCAAAACACTTCCAAGTTCGCCATGTCCCGAGCTGTAGAGAGAATATGAAACATGTGCAAGAACAAACTTGAACATCTTGAGACAAATGAGACAAACTCATCAACCCCGGTTCAATGTGTGTGTTTTTTTTCCCGTCTACCCCCGTCTGGGAGGTCCTCACGGCATGTCCTTCACTGTTGTGTAGCTTTGGAGGGTTCAGGCGCTAACCTTCACATGACCAGCTCTTTGGATCCGTCGCCTCGCTCGCTCCGTCGTCGCCTCGTCCCCGGACTCGGTTTTCACACCGAGCCGCGAGGACTTGCGTCCCAGGACCTTCGTCCGCACGATGGAGCGCCAGCGAGCCATGCCCGTCTCCAAGCGTCGCAGGCGGACGATGGTTTCCTAGAACGGTCGAGGTTCGGAGGAACGAAATCATCATCTGCCTACTTCTTGATCATAACTATATACAACAAGAACAGCGAAATCCATATACACCGCTCTCCAAGTAAATTGGGATAAGAAGAGAAAAATCCATATATATATATATATACTTGGATTTGCTTAAGCTAGGAGCCAGGAAACACTCATATTCCTCATGCAGAAATCGGGAACGTAGAAGTAGCAATAAGCAAAACCCAGTGTACCAGGACCATCCAGCAACGGGTGTCCTGGCCGGTGTAAGGTAGTCCAGCCAGGACATCCATTGGATGGTCACCTTTTGAAGGACTCTTTTTGCAAGTTGATTTTGCCTACCACGGAAGTAAGGCTGTTCTTTGTTATTACAAGCTTTAAAGCCAATCATGTAATCATGGCCGTTGCAGTGGCTTTGGGTCAGTGGTGATCTCAGTGTGAAGGGTTTTATTGTACTTGCTGCCAGGTGCACATGCCCTACAAAACTTCCGTGAATGCATGATAAGCTAGCCCAACTACACTATAGTGCTATAGTTTCAAGCAACAAAAATAATGCCTGCATAGCATGCACGTGCAATTGGTCTCACAAGTGATTTCTATATATATATATATATCTGTCCTGTCCGGCTGCTGGCCTTCAGTTCGCCCAAGGCACCAAATTACACCCGGACTGATTCCATGACCATCCTGAGCAGCTAATGACCATCCTGGGCAGCTGGGACTGTCCCAGCTGTCGAGTGCAATGGGCTTAAAACATGCCTGAGACATGACCCAGTCTCATCTGCTGGCAAGGTTCCACCGTCTCATCTTTCCCAGAATTTCCGAAGAAGTCCTTGAAACAAAGCCCGAGGAATCAAACAGGAAACACATCTGGCACACAAACATGTGATGCCGCACTGAGTTTCAAGGTTGACTTGGACGACAAATGTGCGACTCTCGTCTGCC